TTTTTTTTTTAAGCAAGTTGTAGACAGATATATACTGGATGCTAGTATTTTTCCCACCTTGGATTAATATACAAACAAGAGTATCTTTTGTTTACGGATAGGTATATATGTAGCAAAACACAGACTGAAAGACTAAGCCTAATTCATGATAAGTCATTTCAACTACTTTGTATCATTCCATCTTGTAAACATACCCTGATTATTTATATATTATCTTTTTGATGGACATCAGCTTATTTCCAATTTACGTATTTTGCAAGCTGTGCTGCAATGTACATCCTTTTATGTGTCTCCCAGTGCATATGTGCAAAAAGTTTTCCGAGACCAATGAATACCTAGAATTAGAATTGTTGGGTCCTGTAGTATGCTTACTTTAAACTTTACAAAGTATTGCTAAATTATTTTCCAAAGTTGTTGTAGCAGCTGGGCACAGTGGTTCATACCTGTAATCCCAGCACTTTAGGAGGCCAAGGTGAGAGGATGACTTGAGGCTGGGAGTTTGAGACCTGCCTGGACTACATAACAAGATCCCATCTCGATTAAAAAAAATACAAATATAAAATATATGTATAGAAAAAAATCATATTGTAGTCATAGTGGCCACAAGAGGCTGCACCTCAGCAACTAGCTGATCTCAGGCCAGCTGGGCCAGGGTTAGAGTGAACCCTTCCTCTGAAGAGCTGGGCAGGTAGCAGGTGGTGAGATAGGACATGGCTGCAGGCAACAGCCAGGAGTCTCTACTTCTAGAGTAGCCATTCATACTTGTGGTTGTAAAGTGTCTGTCCCCCACCCAATCATCTGAGTTGGAGGTAGGATGTGGATGAATGACAACAGGACCTTTGCATTGACAGAACTGGAAAGGGGAGGGGGCAACTGGGATGGGGAATGAGGATGAATCACAAGCAGCAGCAGAAGTGAGGGGAGCAGTAGGGAGATAGGAAGGGTGATATTGCTAGTCACCAAAACAATGGGACAAAGATCCCAAAGACATTTCAGAGATCATTGAGTGGGTTGTCCCTCCCATTACAAGTTCAGAGCAGGGCCTTAAGGGCAGGGTTTCCAGAAAGGTGCCCACCAGACCTCAGCATTCACTGCCCAGGGCCACCTCAGGACTCTGCTTCCCATGTGTTGGTGCAGAGCTCCTTGGCTTCTCCAGCCATGGCTCAAATGAGCCCATGTGCAGTTCATTCCACTGCTCTGGAGGGCACAAATGTAAGCCTTGGCAGCATGCACCTGGTGCTGACTCTGGAAAAGTGCTGAGCGCATGAATTGTGGGGCCATGGTGGAATCTACCTGGATTTCAAAGGATGTATCAGACAGTCTGGGGGCCCAGGCAGAGACTTGTTGCAGAGGCAGAGCCACTGCAGAGAGCCCCCACTAGGGCAATGCCTAGTGGAGCTGTGGGAAGCAGGATCCTGCAGAGTCTCCACTAGGGCAGTGCCTAGTGGAACCATGGGAGTGGAACCACTACTGGGACCCCAGAGCCGTAGAGCTACCAGCATACAGCGCCAACCTGGGAAAGTTTCAGGCATGAGACTCCAATCCGAGACAGCTGAAACATGTGCTGAGCCCAACAAAGCCATAGATAGTGGCAGGGCTGCCTGAGACCTTGGGGGTCCAGCCCCTGTCTTGGTGTGCCCAAGATGCAGGACATGGAATCAAAGGAGATTATTCTACACCTTTGAGACTTAATGTGGTTTTCTGTGTTGGGTTTTGGACTTTCTTGGGATCCCTTTCTTCTTGCCTATTTCTCCCCCTTGGAATGGGAATATCTATCCTATGTCTGTCCCACTGTATTAGTCCATTCTTACACTGCTATACAGAAATACCAGGCTGGGCACGGTGGCTCACGCCTGTAATCCCAGCACTTTGGGAGGTCAAGGGGTGCAGATCATGAGGTCAGGAGATGAAGACCATCCTGGCCAACATGGTGAAACTCCATCTCTACTAAAATACAAAAAATTAGCCAGGTGTGGTGGTGCGTGCCTGTAGTTCCAGCTACTTGGGAGGCTGAGGCAGGGGAATCGCTTGAACCTGGGAGGTGGAGATTGCAGTGAGCTGAGATCACGCCACTGCACTCCAACCTGGCAACAGAGCAAGATTCCATCTCAAAAAAAAGAAAAAGAAAAAAAGAAATACCAGAGATTGGGTAATTTATAAACAGAAGAGGTTAATTGGCTCCTGGTTCTGCAGGCTGTATGCAGATTCTGCAGGTTCTGCAGGAAACATGGTACTGGCATCTGCTCAGCTTCTGTGGAGGCCTCAGAAAACTTTCAATTGTGGCAGAAGGTGAAGGGGAAGCAGGCATGTCTTACATGACTGGAGCAGGAGGAAGAGAGTGGGGAGGTGCTACACACTTAACCAGATTTCATGAGAACTCACCATCATGAGAACAGCACAGAGGGGATGGTGCTAAACCATTCATAAAGGATCCACCCCCATGGTCCAATCACCTCCCACCAGGCCCCACCTCTAACACTGGAGTTTACGATTCAACATGAAATTTGGGCAGGGACACATATCCAAACTACATCACCCAGCATTGTATTTTGTAAATAAATAACTTGTTTAATTTTAATCTGTTTCCTCACAGCTGGAGGAAAATTTGCCTCAAGGTGAATTATGCCTTGAGTCCCACCCATATCTGCTTTAGATGGGACTGGACTTTGGATCTTTGAGTTGACACTGAAACAAGTTAAGAATTTTCGGGCTACTGCAATGGAATGAATGTATTTTGCATTGTGAGGACATGAATTTTGGGGACCAGAATAGAACGCCATGGTTTGAATGTGTCTCATAAAGTTCATGTGTTGGAAACTTAATTCCCAATGGAACAGTGTTGGGAGGTGGGACATAATAAGAAGTGATTACATCATGAGGGCTCTACCCTCATTAATAGATTAATGTCATTATCTCAGGAGTGGGTTAGTTATTGCAAGAGTGGCTGTGTTATAAAAACAAGTTTGACTCTTCCTGTTCCCTTGCTCTTACCCTCTCTTGTCCTTCTGCCTTCCATTATGGCATGACGCAGCATGAAGGCCCTCATCAGATGCTGGCTCCATGCTGTTGGACTTCCCAGCCTCCAGTACCATGAGCCAAATAAATTTCTGTTTATTATAAATTACCTAGTCTGTGATATTCTGTTATAGCCATGTAAAACAGACTAGGACACTCTGCCTATTTCAAAACCCTCCAGGGACTTCCAGTTACATTTTGTATAACATTCAAACTCTTTACTTTGACCTAATAAGATATAGTAGCCCTTACCAAAATATCTGATCTTATCCCATACTATGCTGTTTGCGATGCTTCCAGCTATAATTTGTTCTCTCTTCAGGGCCTTTGCACCCTGCGTAAAATGTTCTCTCACCATCTTTCTCATCATCCACATCTCAGCTCTAGGGTCAGCTCCTCGGAGAGGCTTTCCCTAGTCATCCCAACTCAGGAGCCCCCTACTGTGATCAGTATCTCATCGCATCACCCTGGTTTTTTTTCTCTCTTTTTTTTTTTTTGGCGGGGCTAGGGGGTTGACCTGGGCTATGGCTGGGTCAAGTGCCTGCTTTATTCAATGGGAAATGCCCAAGTGGGACTCACCCCCACCTTTCACAATATAAAGTGAGCAGGGAGCTAGGCAGGAAGCTAGAAAAATAACACATGGATCCAGACGATCCAGAAAGACCCTGCTAAGTCAGCTCAAGGCCAAGACTGGTCGGCATGAGAGAACAAAAGGTGACAGAAAAGCCTTGGGCAGCCTGAGCCACGATGGGCCTAGCAGAAGTAGTTGGGACATTCGTGGGCAACCAAATGCCAGGTTTGATTAAAAGTGTCCATGGCAGTCGGCTCCATGGGCCCTTTCTCCATCGCTGCCAAGTTCTGCTCCAGCTTCTCCAGGCTGGACATGCCCAGGATGACCGCGTCTCCATGGGCACCCTGCAGCTGTAAGTGGTGGTACATCCACCAGAGGGTGGCCGAGGTCATACTGGGGACACTGGCACCATACACAGCCTGCATGGCCTTCTGCACCAGGGCAATGGCCTTGTAGTGGTGCTCCTTCCAGAAGCGATTCCTGTAGGTCTCAGCCCAGCTATTCCCAAAGAAGTGGCCCCCGGGCTGTTTCTTGCCCTGGCCTCATACTTGTACTTGCCGGTCAGCAGGCCCCCAGCCAGAGGGTGTAGGCATAGAACCTCAGTCCAAAGTGCCCAAGGCAGGGGAAGAGCTCCATTTCCACCTGCCAGGTGGTGGCGTTGTACATGCCCTGGTACACAGTGGGCAGGATCCAGCCTTTGCTTTTATTTATTTATTTATTTATTTATTTATTTATTTATTTATTTCTGAGACGGAGTCTCACTCTGTCGCCCAGGCTGGAGTGCAGTGGCACCATCTCGGCTCACTGCAAGCTCCGCCTCCCGGGTTCACGCCATTCTCCTGCCTCAGCCTCCCGAGTAGCTGGGACTACAGGCGCCCGCCACCACGCCCGGCTAATTTTTGGAATTTTAGTAGAGACGGGGTCTCACCATGTTAGCCAGGATGGTCTCGATCTCCTGACCTCGTGATCCGCCCACCTCGGCCTCCCAAAGTGCTGGGATTACAGGCGTGAGCCACCGCGCCTGGCCCAGCCTTTGCTCTTGCAGAGCATACAGATCTCCGCCACTTCTCAGCCGGCATAGTTGGAGAGGCCAAGTTCCATGAACTTGCCCTCCTGGTGCAACTGGTGACAGGCACACAGCGTCTCTTCCACTGGGGTGCTGTGGTCAGGTGCATGTAGGTAGAAGAGGTCCACTTGGGGACACTGCAGCCTCTTCAATGACGTCTCCAGCTGGGACCGGACATTGTCAGGCTTTAGTGATTTTCCCTCCCAAGGGTTGGCCTTGGTGGCAAATTTCACTCAGTAGTCGCTGCTGCCCAGCCCCAGCCCCAGGCTGCCCAGGATGGTTTTGGACTGGCCATCGCTGTACGTGAAGGCCATGTCCAGCTTGGTGTGGCTGCACTCCAGGAAAGCGCGCATGGCCGTGGCACTGGCGGATGCGTCCATGTGGCCCCCCATCTCCATGGTGCCTAGCACCATGGCATGCCGGGCCAGGATGCCCAAGGCGGCCCGCGTTGGCGGTGGACGGGACATGGCTAGCATGCGGGCATCGGGTGGCAGGGAGCAACCTGCGTAGTGGACCGCAGCGTGGGGCATGGTGCGAGACTCGGCGCTCAGCATGGTGTGGTGCCTGCCCCTCACCCTGTTTTATTTTCTCCCTACCACTTAACATTATCTCAAATTGTCTGTCCATTTATTGGTTTGCTTATTATTATACATCTTCACCACCACTAGAATGTAAAGTTCATGAGAATGGCAATCTTATTTGCCTCTGTCCTGCTGAATGTCTAGCAACTAGCTCAGTACTTAGCAGGTGCTCAGTGGATTATTTGTTGAATAGATGAGTCAGGATATGGACCGGCGTTGTTGAAACCATGGGAAATATGTGATCATATGATCACTTCAAGGAGAGCCTGAAGAGTTAAATGTAGATTATAAAGGAGGGAGCAGAGGAAAGAATGCCTACAAAGCAATTTGGAGGAACAACCAGGGTGGTAGGAGGAGAAACAGGAAAGTGTGATGTTACAGAAGGCAATCCTACTTCTCTCCCCAAAAGCAACCAATGCTAACAGATGGGTGGGTATCCTTCCAAATCATGTTCTATATATTTACATACATTCACAAATGTTTATATTATATGCATATGTAGTTTTGGTTTTTATATAAATGAGCTCATAGTACATGTATTATTCTATCACTTGCTTTTTTTTAAAAAAAACAGCTTTTTTGAGCTATAATTCGTACACTACACAATTCACACATTTAAAGTGTGCAGTTCAATTGTTTTCAGTATATTCATGGATGTGTGCAACCACTGCCATAGTCAATTTTTAGAACATTTTCATCACCTCAGAAACAAACCCTGTATCCTTTAGCTATCGCCTCTTTATCCCCCAACCCTTAGCAACCACTAATCCACTTTCAGTCTCTATAGATTTCCCTATTCTGGACTTTGATATTAATGGAAGAATATGTAATATTTTGTGACTGGCTTATTTTACTTAGCACAGTGTTTTCAAGGTTCATCCATGTTGTAGCATGAATCAGAACTTCATTCTTTTTATTGCCGAATAAAATTGCTCTTGCAGGCCAGGCATGTTGGTGCACGCCTGTAATTTCAGCACTTTGGGAGGCTGAGGCAGGTGGATCACTTGAGCTCAAGAGTTCAAGACCAGCCTGGGCAACATGGCAAAACCCTGTCTCTCTGCAAAATACAAAAAATTAGCTGGATATAGTAGTGTGTTCCTGTAGTCACGGCTACCCAGAAGGCTGAGGTGGGAGGATTGCTTGAGCCTGGGAGGCCAAGGCTGCAGTGAGTCATGATTGTGCTACGGCACTCCTGCCTGGGCAACAGAGTGAGACCCTGTCTCAAAAAAAAAACAAAAAACAAAACAAAAAAACCCCCAAAACTTGCAACTTGCTCTTGGCATATCCATTGTGTGGATATACTACATTTTGTTTATCTATTCGTCATTTGGACATTTGGGTAGTTTCTACTTTTATTTTTTTTCTGAGATGGAGTCTCACTCTGTCACCAGGCTGGAGTGCAGTGGTGTTATCTCGGCTCACTGCAAACTCTGACTCCCTGGTTCAAGTGATTCTCCTGCCTCAGCCTCCTGAGTAGCTGGGATTAGAGACCCACTTATGGTGGGAGATGCACCACCACACCCAGCTAATTTTTGTATGTTTTTTTTTTTTTTTTTTTTAGTAGCGACAGGGTTTCACCATTTTGGCCAGGATGGTCTCAATCTCCTGACCTCATGATCCAACTGCCTCGGCCTTCCAAAGTTTTGGGATTACCGACGTGAGCCACTGCACTGAGCCAGTTTCTACATTTTGGCTATTATAAATAACATGCCTATGAGTATTCATGTTTCAGTTTTTGTGTGGACATATATTTTCATGTCTTTTGGGTATGTATCTAGGAGTGGGATTGCTGGGTCATATGGTAACTCTGTATTTAACATTTTGAGGAACTACTGGATTGTTTTTCGAAGTGGCTGATCAATTTTATGTTCCCACCAGCAGTATATGAGACTTCCAGTTTCTCCACATCTTTCTCAACACTTGTTAGTATCTGTCCTTTTGATTATAGCCATACTAGGGACTGTGATATCACTTGCTTTTTTATTTAATGTGTATGGATTTTTTTCTGTATCAGTATATATAGATATCCTACTTTTGTGTGTGTGTATGTGTTTGTGTGTGTGTGTGTGTGTGTGTGTGTGTGTGTGTGTGTGTGTGACAGAGTCTCACTCTGTAGCCCAGGCTGAAATGCAGTGGCACGATCTCGGCTCTCTGCAACCTCCGCCTCCCAGGTTCAAGTGATTCTCCTGCCTCAGCCTCCTGAGTAGCTGGGATTACAGTCTCCTGCCACCATGCCTGGCTAATTTTTGTATTTTTAGTAGAGATGGGGTTCTACCGTGTTGGCCAGGCTGGTCTCAAACTACTGACCTCGGGTGATCCGTCCACCTGGGCCTCCCAGAGTGCTAGGATTACAGGCATGAGCCACCATGCCCAGCTGATATCTTACATATTTAACTGCTGCATAACATTCCACAGAAACCATGCTTTTCAAGATATTCCTGCCTATATCATTGTGTTATTTCTTCCACCAGGGCTCAGCAGCCTGGAAATAGAAACAATGGTGGTGGATCGATTCAATTGATCCAGATTTGGAAGTTGCATGGCAGGTGAGAAGGATTTGGATGGTAATGGTGAGAGAGGATTTGAAATAATTTATCAACAATGTGGTGCAGATCAATCCTGGTGTGTAAGTGACTAACAAGGAACTGGAGTGGATGGCATAGCATAGTGACTAGAACCCTAAAAGAAGGGGTTTTACGTGAAAGTGGAAAGATAGCTTTTTGTTTTGTTTTACATTTACCCATTCCCTCTGTTGAGTTTTTTTGTTTGTTTGTTTTTTGTTTTTGTTTTTGTTTTTAATACTGAGTTATTCACTACTTTGCCCTCTGTTTTTTTGAGACAGAGTCTCATTCTGTTGCCCGGGCTGGAGTACAGTGGCAATCTCACCTCAATGCAGCCTCCACCTCCTGGGTTCCACTGATTCTTGTTCCTCAACCTTCTGAGTAGCTGGGATTATAGATGCCCACCACCATACCCAGCTAATTTTTGTGTTTTTATTAGAGATGGGATTTCACCATGTTGGCCAGGCTAATCTCGAACTCCTGACCTCAAGCAACCCGCCCACCTCAACCTCCCAAAGTGCTGGGATTACGGGCTTGAGCCACTGCGGCTGGCCTGCTTTGCCTTCTTAAACAGATGATTCAGAACATAATATAACCTTGTCTTGTGACTCAGCGTGGCCATTATGATCATCTGCTTTTGCCCTGGACCTCTGAGGCATGTAGGAATATGTCTTTCCTTATGTCTTCTCCCTAAGTGTGTTCTTGATTTTTGTGCTTTTGAAGAAGTTCTGAGATCAACGTATTCTTGGTTCTTCTAATGTGTAGCTGTTTGACTAAGGACTGACTCCGTGCATCTCCTATGAAGTAAAATTCATGGGTTTTATGACAGCAATTTTACATGCTGCTTAGATGCTTTTTTCTCATCTAGGTTTTTAGTTATATAATGGCAGAGATTATAAGAAATCTGATCTCCAGAGAAGTGTTGATACTTCTTTAATTTGGCATAGACTATTTTTGGCAAGCTAGTTTTCTAGCATTGAACAATTTAATGAATAGGTTCATAGTCACCCTATCCACATTCTTTTTAATGGTAGAAAACAGTCTCTCGAATACAGTAGCCATTAGCTACATGTGGACTGAACAATGAGATCACTTGGACTCGGGAAGGGGAACGTCACACACTGGGGCCTATCATGGGGAGGGGGGAGGGGGGAGGGATTGCATTGGGAGTTATACCTGATATAAATGACGAGTTGATGGGTGCTGACGAGTTGGGTGCAGCACACCAACATGGCACAAGTATACATATGTAACAAACCTGCTGTGCACATGTACCCTAGAACTTAAAGTATAATGAAAAAAATTTAAATATAAATTAATTAAGAGTAGGCTGGGCATGGTGGCTTATCCCTGTAATCCCAGCACTTTAGAAGGCCGAGGCGAGTGGATCATTTGAGGTCAGGAGTCCAAGACCAGCCTGGCCAACATGGTGAAACCCCATTTCCACTAAAAATACAAAAATTAGCTGGACATGGTGGTACACACCTATAATCCCAGCTACTCAGGAGGCTGAGGCAGGAGAATTCCTTGAACCCAGGAGGTGGAGGTTTGCAGTGAGTCGAAATCTACCTCTGCACTCCAACCCGGGTGACAGAGTGAGACTCCATCTCAAAAAAAAAAAAAAAAAAAAAAAAAGAAAAAGAAAAAGTTCCCTTATTGTGCTAGCCACATTTCAAGTGCTTAGTAGTCACATGTGGCTAGTGGCTACCATACTGGAGAGTGCAGATGTAGAACATTTTCATCATCAAATAAAGTTCTATAGAGTAGCAATGGTTTAGACATTGAGCCAGTCTCTTTTCAGGCTTCTTGTTTCCAAACTAGAGTCTCAGGGTTTAAGTGCATCCTTGTACAAGCAGCCATGCTCATACTATTCTCCAACACTCTCTGACTTCCAACCCCTGAGCATTGTCATTTGCCCTCTATTAGTGTTAATTTCCTATGGCTGCTATAACAAATCACCACAAGTTTAGTGGCTTAAAACAATATAAATTTATTATCATATATGACATAGTTTTGATATTTGTCCCCTTCAAATCTCATGTTGAAATGTGACCCCTAATGTTGGAGGTGGAGCCCATTGGGAGGTATTTAGGTTATGGGGGTGGATCCCTCTTGAATAGCTTGGTATCGTCTCCATGGTAATGAGTGAGTTCTCACTTTATTAGTTTACAGGAGATCTGGTTGTTTACAAGTACATAGCATGCCTCCCCTCTCTCTCTCACTCCCCCTCTCCCCATGTGACATGCCTGCTCACCCTTTGCCATCTGCCATGAATAGAAGCTTCCTGAGGTTCTCACCAGAAACAGATGCTGGCATCATGCTGCCTGCTGCTTATACAGCCTGCAGAACTGTGAGGCAAATAAACCTCTTTTATTTATGAATTACCCAGTCTCAGGTGTTCCTTTATAGCCA